AACCTTTTTTCTCAGAATCCCTGAGTTTTTTCTTTCTCTAACTTCCAAAAGCTCTAACTTCTCTCTAAAACAACCTAGAAATTTGATCGAAAACTAGATTTTTCGCTAGTTTTTTGAAAAATTGGCCAAAATCTGATCAAAAAATTAAACCGATCGTCGGAAAACTCATCGAAAAATTCATATTCTTCCCAAAATTTCAAAATTTTTTAGAAAATTTCAAAATTTTTTAAATTTTACTTAGATTACTCCCCGAATCCTCTAGAACCTTATTCCAACCTCCATGGACCTAAATTTAACCCAGAATCTTTCAAATGAACCAAAATCAAAAATCAAAATCCCAAGACTTCTATTCTACCCAAAACTATTTCCTAGACCTGCAACAACCAAAATTTTCTTAATTTTCCACCATTCCCCTTTAAAATCACCCTTTCATATTCTGAGGGTTATTCAATTTATAAGCGTCATGAGAACAATTTTTGGGAATGAACAGAATCAATCCTAGGGTTCAAGCTTGGATTGGTTCTGTCCGAGCATGATTCCTGGTTATATTTTGGTAAAACTGAAAGGCTTTGATTTGGGTTTTAATTTAAAATCCATTGACCAATGGACTTAAATTCAATCCAAATCGGTTTCCTTGATCACCAGCAATTAATGTAAAAAGGAAGAAAATAAAAACAAAAATAATACTAATAATAATAATAATAATAATAATAATAGTAGTAATATGATATAACACCATATAATATACTAATAATAATATAATAATAATAACAATACTGTAATATAGTAATAATAATACTATAAATAATATAACAAAAATAATAAAATACTATCTAATTGACCTCGAACACGGTCCAATCGATCCCAAACACAAATAGGTGTCTATACATCAAATTCTGGAATAGGTGCTATATTAAGTCAATGAGGAAAGCTTATAGTATTTTTCAGTAAGAAGCTCAATAAAGCCAAGAGGAAGTGTTCAACCTATGACAAAGAGTTTTATGCCATTTATAGGGCTTTATTTCAGTATCTTCTCCCAAGCCATTTGTCCTATATTCAGACCACGAGGCCTTGAAGTTTATCAATAGCCAACACAAGCTCAAATAAAGATATACAGCTTAGATGGAGTTCCTTTAAGCCTACAACTTCACTATCAAAGATAGATCAGGAACTCAGAATGTGGTGGTAGATGCTTTAAGTCAAAAGCACTCTTTATTGGAGACTATGGCTATTGAAGTTATTGGATTTGATGTGATTAAAGGGCTCTATGAGATAGATCCTTATTTTGCCTGAATTTGGAAAGAATGCAAGCAAGGACCACACAACCAATTTTTATTACATGGTGGATATCTTTTAAAGGCTAACAGCCTTTGCATTCCCTCATGTTCCTTGAGACAAGTCTTAATCAACGAGGCTCATGATGGTGCACTAGGTGTACACTTTGGAAGAGACAAAACACTTGCTCTTTCGCAAGACAAGTTTTATTGGCCAAAAATGGAAAAGGATGTGATGAAACACCTTAAATGATGTAGAGTGTGCCACATTGCCAAGAGTCATAGTTAAAACACTGGATTGTATACTCCACTGTTCATGCTTAATGCTTCTTAGGAGGATGTTAGTTTGGACTTTGTAGTTAGACTACCTAGAACTCAAAATAACAAAGATTCCATTATGGTGGTTGTGGATCGTTTTTCCAAGATGGCCTATTTTGTTCCTTGTACCAAAATTGTATATGTTTCTCATGTTTTTTATCTGTATTTTTAGAAAATTGTAAGGCTACATGGAGTTCCTAGATCCATGTGTCTGATCAGGATTTCAAGTTTCTTAGTCACTTTTAAGGTACCCTTTGGAAGAAACTTGGCACCAATCTCAAGTATAGTTCTTCTCATTATCCTCAAGCATATGGTCAAATAAAGTAACCAATTGTAGCTTGGGCAACCTTCTAAGAAGTTATATGAGAAATAATATTAAGCAGTGAGATCTTGTTTTACCTCAAGTAAAGTTTGCTTACAACTACTCACCAAGCCAAACCTTTGGTTGCAGCCCTTTTAAGTGATGTATGGTAAGAATCTAATCAGCCCTTTAGATTTAGTTCCTCTTTCTACTAATCAATAATTTATTGGAGATGTAGAAGAAGTTGATAAGGGTATTAAATGATTGCATGAACAAGTGAGAGCCAAGATTTTATAGCAAAATGAGAAAAATAAAAGGTAGCAAACAAGCATCGAAAATATGTGAAGTTCAAAGAAGGTGATTTGGTGTGGATTAACTTACAGAAAAAGAGATTTTCTCCAAGGAAGTTTAGCAAACTACAACCTAAGGCAGATAATCCATTTAGAATTCTCCAATGCATTGGGGATAATGCGTACAAGATAGAACTTCTTGATACATATGGGGTATTTTCCACCTTCAATATTACTGATTTGTCACCTTACCAAGAAAACTAATTTGGACTTGAGGACAAGTCTTTTGCAACTAAAGAAGATTGACACTAGAGTATCAATACATCTTACAACTTGGGTTAAGACTAAAGAGGACTTATCCAAAAATAAGATAAGCCTATATTTGGTTCAAATGCACTAAACAAATGCATAAATAAGGTGGGCTGAAATAAAGAGATTGTGTTCACATTAGCTAGAAAAGAAGAGCATGAATATGGATGGGATTGTAGTCAGATACATTATCATGTAATCTGTAAGAGTAAATGAGTAGATTATGTTCACATACAAATCTCATGATTTTAGGCACGATTCTAGCAATGTAATCTGAAAGTTCCTATGTTTGAAGGGATATTCCTATCCTATATATTTTCTATTATTCTTTTGTAGAAGGCAGAATAGAGTTTTCTTTATCCTTAAGCAATCTTTTAGATTGTTCTTCAAGTTCTTATCTTTTAGATGGATTTCCTAAAGTGGTGAACTTCTATTGTTTTGTATCCTTGATTAAGATTTTTAGGGTGGTGTTTCTGTATCCCTTAATTTCTAGTCTTAGTGGTGAACTTTTGTCCCTTTTAATCCAATAATCATATTCTGTCATTATTCAAATTCTTGTGAGTTGTTTTCTTTGTGAGTTTTTCTATTTGCAATTAATCTCCACATCTCAAACATCAATTCCCAACATCTATATTTGTCAAAAAGATGAAGTAGACCTTGAAAATGATATCGCTAATGATATCACAATCCCAATAACAAGAGTCAAAGAGTCAATTTACGAAAGTAGCATGAATAAAGACCAATCTTGCCTTCTATACTTCATTTACAATAACCACCCTATCAGCAATCAGCATAGCTATGTATTTTCCAGCATGAATGTACAGAACTCTTCATAATTTACTTTTCCGGTTAAAGAACATGGATTTGCAACCCTATGAGAATATAGTACCTGCTCGTACTTGGTTTGGTATTCTCATGTCTGCACTTGGGGTTGCTATGCTCGAATGTAGTGGCTCTCCGCCAAATGTAAGCATTATGTTTATGAATTTTTTAACAGCATTTTTTTTTAATGAAGAGAAATCTAAAAAAATAGTTGGTGGCCTTTAATACTTTCCCTCAACGACTACTCCCTCATTATACTCATTCCACATTGTCCTTTCAGCTCGTTCAAATTTGCATAGTTAAATCTCCTCTCTTTTTCTTTGTTTTTAAAATTCATCAACATCATCAGCTTTCACCATTCATCGTTGATTGTTTGCTTCTCTTCTGGGCACTCCTTGGGATTCTCGTCACTAAACATATGTGATGCGAGAAAGATGTTGACTCCATCTTCGTTTTAACACAATCTCCATCTTCTTTTTTGTTCTGTTTTCTCAACCAATCTATATCTAACTTTGGCGTCCACCATTTTGCCAATCACTGTTGGTTATTTGGCTTCGCAATCAGCCATCATATCTTACACGCTTTCATAATGCTTATCAATATTGTAGATATATGATCTTTCTTCCTTAACTCCAACATCAGTTGCAAAGTTGTTCTCAGCTTCGATTTGGCTCCTTTTTGCTTGTCAAAGCACATTTGAATAAACTAGCCGGTGAGGCTTATTGGCTTTAAACTACGATTCTTCGTCTTGCAATGGCTTTTCCACATTGTCAGCTTTTTCTGGTGACTGGATTAAGATTCATTCCCTTCTTTTGACAATCCTTCGGTTGGTTCTTGTCTAGGTTGAATCTTCTCAAAGTCGATTTCATCTTCCATCATTTCTGGCTTGAACCTTTTCTTCTGATTCTGTGGTGCAAGCAGCTACAAGGTCTTCACATTCTTCCATGACGAATGATGTTTGAAAATCTCACTCTTCTCACTCTCCTAGTCTCTTCTCGTTAGAAGGTCATTGCACTTGATTAAACCAACAATCTCGAGCAAAATAACCAATCTTGCTACAATTGAAGCACTGAATATTTTGATGACAATAACTCGTTTCTTGATTATCATCCCTACCATAATTACTGCTTTGGCCATGCTTCTTGTCGCCTTCAAAATTTGTTTTCCTCCATTCTCTCCTTGTAGCATCTTTATCTCTTTTATTGATGAAGAGCGCTTTCTCGTCATCATTGTCGAGACATTAGATATTTGTTTATCTAAAGCCTCTTGACTATGATATTTTCCAACCCTGTTAAAGTTGGTTCCTTGCTCCATCCACGAGTTGCAGTAACAATTCCATTTTATTAAGATCGCAGGCCATAGATAATAATTCCTTTCATCCTTGTTTCCAATATTGAATTTTCCGGATATAATTTTGAAATTTCATCATAAGGCGTTTTAACTTTGGAAAAATGCTTGCGACATATTTTGTTGTAAGATTGATAAAAGCTTTCTGAGCTTAAAATTAAGCTTTCCGGGCTTAATTTTTGTTAGAAGTATTAATTTTGTTTGAAATTTTTTATATTAATTTGTATTTCAATATAAATTTTAATAAATTATTTTAAAATATTTGCAACCACTGATAAAAATCCTAGATACGTTGGGCAATGTTAATGATTTAATTTGACCATATGTTGTCCCTTTCAGTTTGGAGATCTTTTAAGCTTTTTGAGCGCAATATTTTTTGGAATTCACATGCTTTGAACCGAAAATCTTTCAAGAAGCACAAAGGAGGGGAACTTCTTAGCACTTCTTGGATACAAGGTTAGTTGCTGGAATGAGAATGGACTACCTTTATATCTTTCATATCATGCTATGTGTCATAACATATATATCCAAAAATTTATAATTAGATTTAACAAAAAGATGGAGTCGTCACCAATCTATTTTACTATGTGTAATTGATTACCTAAGGAATCTATCCTCTTAAGGAGCTTCTAAGCTTGACTAAAGGTCCCTAAAAAATAGGTTCAGGTCTACAAACCATAATAAGGTTTGGGAGTTCGGTTACATGTGAAAAATGTTATAGCACCCCCACATGTCTATCTGAAGGATGGTGCCATATTATTTTAAATTTATCCTATGGTCTTGAGTCTAATGATTTCAAATTTTATGTTAAATATTGAAAATAATTTTTAAGATTCTCCATCAATCTGGTAGAACTCTTAAAAAATACTTCATCACCTCAAGAGTGTTCAAGAATCCCATTTGATATCTTGAAGAAGCTCCATCGTCGGAAAAATTATCTTTTTATTCTTTTTTTGTTGAAAATATATCTAATTATTCCACCATTTATGTCAAATTAGAAATATTTTCTCTTTTTGAATTTCTAAATTTTTTACTATTTGGGCCTATTTAGAAATTTTTTTTTCTTGGAAAGAAAGTAATATGACAATTATTTTTATTGAAATTTCATCTAAAGTATTCTATCATTTAGGACAAATTTAGAGAAAATTTCTCACCTAGAGATTTCTTAAGAATTTACCATTTGAAATTTTTAAGAATATCATCATTGGTTAATTATCGCATATTTTCAACCAAAATTTTATTTTAAAAAGAATACGGTTACTTATATTAAAATTTTATCTAAATTATTCTACCAATTGGGTCAAATTTAGAGAAAATTTCTCACCTAGAGATTTCTTAGAAAATTTACCATTTGAAATTTTTAAGAATCTCATCTTTAGGTAATTTGTATTTAATTCCAAAATTTTTATATTTTTATTATTTTTATTATTTTATTATTTTTCTTTTTCTTTTTTTTGTTTTAAAAATAAATATTAATTATTGTTATTAAAATTTTATCTAAATTATTCCATCATGTAGGACAAATTTAGACAAATTCTCACTTAAGAATTTTATAAAAATTTACTATTTAAAATTTTTATAAATTCCATCATTAGAGAATTAATATTTATTCTCAATATTTTTTTATTTTTTCTCTTTTTTTGAATTTAATCATGCAAAAATACTAAAAATAATACATAAAAAATAAAAAAAATACTAAAAAATATCAAAAAAAAATACGGCTTAACTGGAGCGGCTTGAAACGACTCAGCTTCAGACACAAGAAGAGGTTGGAAAGCGTAGCTTGGGGTGCAAGGCTCGGCTTGGCTCAGCAACAGCATCTAGGGAACGGGTTAAAATGCGGGTCAACGCTTGGGTGGGTCATCCGAATAAAAACGTGAGGATCTTGAGAAGTCATTTAACTCTAAAACGACATCGTTTCAAGGCCTTATAAAAAGGCCAACTTCCTTCTTTCTACTTCAGGTCTCCTATTCCCCTTCTCTCTTTTCCCCTTTTTTTCCCTCCCTCTCTCTCTATCCAAATGAACTCCGATTGAACTTTGACCAGATTCTGAAAAATATCACCGAAATCTGGGTTGAGTAATCGGACAACCATCGAAAAATTCAACTTTCACCAAAATCTTCACCAGATTTTGAATTCCTCACCAAAAAATTCAAATGACGCTGAAAAATTCAACGAAAGCTAGAAATTTTTCAAAATTTTCCATAATCTGGAGATTTTTTCAGATTTTTTCAAAAAAACCCCTTTGTTTCTCTAAACCCAAAAATCTTCAAAAAATTTTTATGCTTTTTTGCTTGCTGTGTTTTCGATTTTTGCTTTCTGTGTGTGTCATGTCCCCTTCCTCTCTGATCAATGGGTATTTATAGAATTTAACCAAAAAATTTTCTAATTAATTCTAACTCCCACTTTGACAATAATTTTATCTTATGCCATAAAAGTTTAATTCAACCATGATTTTGCTACTAGTCCAATCCACGACAGAACCTTCTTTTCTTTTTTTTTTTTTAATTATTATCTCCTAAAATTATAAAAAATAAACAATTAAAATAAAACTCAGAATAACAAATAAACCAATAGAAAAAAAAATTGGGCTAATCTGTCCCTTTTGAACTATGCCCAATGGCTTAGGTTCAAACCCTGTTGAGCCAAACCTAATGGGTTTGAGTCCGGACTAATTAGGGTGCCTACACTGTATACATGGATAATGCATCATTCAGCGTTTAAGCAATTAATGTCATAAGTTTCACGATTTCCTTTAAATTTGTGTTGTTGCTTTGTTCTGAACTCTCTGGGTTGTAATAGGAGGATGGTTTGATGGCATCCAAGATATTGATAAATCATCTTTGACATGGGAACTGTTATGGGAATGGATGGTGGCCTTTCCCTGGGTACCTGCACTATATACTGGCCTATTCTCAACCGGATTGTGCCTTTAGATAGAGGTTTTGTTTTCAATATTCTGGTAGTAAATTAGTAATTCATGTAGACAGCACAAACACGAATGAACTTTGAAATGACTCTCATTAGCATCTCAAACAACTCCTCATTTTGAATTGCTTTTGCGTCTGTTGCTTTTCATAAATGTTTCTACTTTCATAGCATGCTGCTCGTCTGGTGTTCTGTTTAAGGCCATTCGCAAATGGAATTTATAATACCAGTCTCAGTGGGCAGCAGTTATGGGATACAGCATTTTTATGCAATCTCAGTTCACATCTGATTTCAGTGAATCACTTGCAAAAGCCGTTTTCTTGTTTTTTTTTTTCTCCATACAGGTTGCTGCTATGCGTGAAGTGTCAGCAACAGATATTTATGGAATGGAACCACTATGGGGAGATGGTTTTGCATGGTTTCTCCTTAGCGAAAGCTGGGGTACAACCGGATGGATTGGGGCTGCTCTTGTGATTGGTAAGTGATTTTCATTTTACGATTTAAGCTTGTTTTAGGATTTGAAATATTATTGAAGTTGATCACAAAAATGACGAAGCTGCTTTTGACATGCCTGAGTAATAAGAAAATGATAGACAGAAGTTAGATCCAAGTTTCTATTGCATGAAATGATATTGGCAAAATGCTTTAATATGCTTAACTGATAAAACATAATTGCATCAAAATGTTATCTTAGTTTCACTACTTCACTGAATGTCTATTAAATAAAAGCAAGGATTTGCTTCCAGTTTCATGTTTATCTCGCATCTTCTTTTTGGATCCAAGGGCTAGCATTTGCATTGTAAATACCCTTTCGCACAGAGTAAAGGAGTAGCTCCTCTGTTTAAAAAGTAACAAAATTGATTAACCTTTATATCATCATAAGTGGAAGCTTGATGGTGCAGATATAAAGATGTTCCACTCCTCCAAAGGGATCCATAAAGGTTGAAAGAGGAAATCAGGAAGGCAATCTCGTGCGGGTTTCTGAAGTGGAGAAAGGAAAATGACAGAAAAAACTATCTACTTCACCAATTATTGTCAGATACAGAAAGGATGCGATGGATATGTTTTAAGTGATCCCATCTCACATTTTTTTTTCTAAGTATACACCTGGTTGCTTTTATTGCTAAATATACGTATATATAGAAAATTCTATGTTTCATTATTTTAAGTAAATTCAAATGAAGATACATAATAAGAATTTAAGGGCTTTTGCCATGTTGATATGTTGAAGTGCATGCTGAAGTCTTCCTGGTTCCAAAAGTGAACGAATTTTAGGAAGTTCACCATTTAGAATCTATGGAAACTTTTTCTATCCTTCAATCCTCCATTATGTATTCTTGCGGGAAGCTATTTATTGGTTCGTGATTTCCTTTGGCTCTTCTTCATGAGATGAAATGGAGATGGCAGTAGCATGATCAGTGGTTCCATTCAGGTTCCAGATAGCATCGGTTGCTATTTCGGTACACTCAGCGCATTCTTAGTAATGATAGCTCAAAGTCACCTATTGTTACTCGAACACGATGTGAGTGTCAGATACAAGTCGTGTGCAACCCAGGTATGCCTCAAATACTAAACAGAAAATGAAGAATCAGGCAACATAAAATGCAAGCACTCTCGGTGGCTGACTATTCATCAAGCAGCAGCATTTGCAATGTTGCGAACTTGTATCAGAAGGCAAACAGAGCAGCATAGTAGTGGTGACGAATACTGAATATACCTAGTATTTTGCACTAGGTTCATAAAATTTGTCAATTTTCTTATTACTTCCTGTGGACCATCATACACATGGAGAAACAGATATGCAGAATCAAGGTACTAGAGTCTGAAAATCTGGCGCTTTTCTAGGTATGACAGCTGTTGATTCGATTCAAATGTTTTTGTATTTCAAATGCAAATACTTACCAACTTACTGAAGGGGGATTACTTATTCAAGGGAAAGAAAAGAGTAATTATAACAAAGATAGGATCTTTAGTTCATAATGTCACTACAAACATCAGATGATTGCGCCATTAAATAGTTTTGAGGTGCATATTGCTAACCCCATTCTCTTATTATTATTACTGGAAGGGAAACTTTCATTAGAGAAACAGTAAGTAACATAAGATGAGAAAGCTGGAATCAGTTTTTCTTGGCAATGAAAAGGCCCCATCTCTGCTCGCCAGACGAGCTCCTTATCAACTTTGCCTTCCATCCACCAACTATATCATCATAGTCTTCCTGAATATTGGAAAAAGAGCAAGTATCATTAGTGAAGCAGAAAAATCATAAAAACGAAAAAAATAACCCTATGTTAGTAAAATGGAAATACTCACTTGAGAAAAATCAGAGATGAATGCATCCTTGCCCTTTTCAACTTCGCTTAATTCACACTGCAGAACTTCTATGAACTGTAACACAAGCAAACCATTTGTTTAGCACACAAAGCCCAACAGTGTTCATAATTCGAGAAGTATACAAAAAAAAAGGGGGGGGGGGTATATTTATCTGAACCTGATCAGTTTGATCCTCTGCAGCAACCTCAACAAAACCAGCATCCTTAAGCATCTGCAAACAATAAAACAAAGCAACTCGTGATGTCAGAAATTGTTAATAAAAAACACAGTATATGACATTAAAACAACAAATGATTATTAACTTGAATATACCAGGCCATATGCTTTTACATCATGCAGATCATACCCTCTCTGCTTGATATAGTCTGCAAATTCTGATGACGGAGTTCCGGCACTTTTGCAGTAATCACTTATAAGAACTTTGCCTCCTGGCTTCAACCATTTGTAGAATGATCTAAATAGTGCAGGTTTGTCCTGACAGTCAATGTTAGATACAGATCGTGAGAGAGTGACAAAGTGGATCTAGAAAAACCCAAATGATTGACAAAGTGGATCAGGACATGAAGTAGAATGAATGAACTACATCAAATCTGTATAATTATCCATTAGATAGCAGTTTTCCCTTAGGAATCCTCATTTTTTATGCTTGTGTTGAACATCCAAGTAATCTTTTCAAAGGGAAAGGTATTTTAAGAATAATAGAGAAACTTATCAAAATCCTCAGACAAACATAAGCCTCACAGTAGATGAGGTATCTAGTCCTCTTACTTGAATGTGTAGAATGGTGTCACGGCTGTAAATAACATCAAAAGTGTTGTCCGGATAAGTCTTCTTAGTGCAATCAGCAACTTCAAATTCCACTGAACAATGGAGTCCAATAGCTCGTTCAAGAGCAAAAGATATCATATTTGTGGAGAGATCGATGCCTACAACATGGACATCAAATTTCTCTGCCATATAAAAGTCACCTCCACCGATGCCACAGCCAACATCTAGAACCTTTTGGCCAGGCTTAAGATCCAACTTCTCCACAAATTCTTTCGTTGTTTCTGCTCAAAAAACAAGTTTCATTTTAGTGGGGATGACCAAGTGAAAAGATTGAATAGAATAAGGGGAATCAAAAGAAAGTTTTAAGCCCGAGGAACAATAGGGCGTTATGTAAGGACCTTGAGATTATAAAATAGCCATTCTTTACCTAACATAGAAAATATTGAGGCAATGTTATAATTAGTATAATCTCATTATTTGATACATATAAAACTTCCAAACTGCATTGATTATAGCCAGATATGTTGTTTTGAGGTTCAGACATTACATTGGAAAAGATGAAAATTCTACTGCAAAACCATTTCTGCTACTAGATACACAAATCCCAGACAGCTCTATGTATGTAGTAGTAAAATCTATAACAGTTAAGAGTGAATTTTTCATGTTTAATATGCATGTTGAAAGCAATTGCTTCGTCTTTCTTTCCCTATTTTCTCTATATATGTGTAGTGAATTCCTTTTAAATAAACAAATATAAATATTTGGTCGAACAGGAATACCAATTCCTCCTGTGCTCACAAATCCTTGTCCAAAGGCACGCTCATAACGGAGTATGCTATTACAATTGTACTGAACAGTATCCAAGAAGCGCTGGAATCTCCTATCATTATCTGAACTGACTTTTTGCCATATCCAGCAAATCTGGATTAAGCAAACAATATGTTGCATGTTGTCAGTAAATCAATTCAAGACAGCAAAAAAAGTAATAATCAATGAGATCATGTTTTATTGCCTGATTTTGATTCTTTTTGTTCCTAACATAAGCTCCGATGCACTTGCAGCCAACTAGAGAAAGTTCAAATGAATTTCCTGAATCACCAGTTGCATGGCATTCTTTAAAGACCTGCATTAAAATACAAGACAAACAATGAGCTCACTCTGTCCCATACATATTTCAATCCTCAGAGTACATTGAATTCAAGATAGATTAAAGGAAAACCTTTGTGTAAAATCTGGGCTCACGGTAGTGAGTTGGGTTGTGCTTCCGCTTGCAGTCACCAGATTGATGAAAACAAGACTCCCTGAAGAAAATATGTCCACCAACCTTCAACCATTTCACCATCCTTTCTGCCAAATTCTCAACCTGCATTTAATGATGGTTTTAGACAGAAATATACTAAAACAAGCTGGTTAACTTGTGAATCCAAAGCCTGCAACATAGCATGCCTCTGTGAACTCCTTTTTTTTTTCATTTTTATTGGAGAAGATGCTATGAACTATATTTAAGAGACTATATACATGTTGGGCATGCATGATACCTAAATAAGAAAAGATTCAGTTTAAAAAAACGAAAAAAAGAAAAACTTGGCACAAGGTATTTGCTCCAAAGAATCTCACCTAGACCTGTCTGTGTGAATAGTTGTGTGTCTGTGTGATTTCATACAGAATATGAAGGATTAAGCCCCAACCACATTTGAAACGATCCATAGGAGGTTAAGTCCCAAATTTTGATTCAGGTTTGGCCTAGTAGTTTTTAATCCTTAGAAGGTTGAAGTCCCAATTTTTGAATCTTCCTCACCCCCCCCAGCCCCCAGACTTCCTTGTATGAACCAAAAAGACAAAAAGCAAAAAATCAAGTTTTGCAACTAAAATCACCTCCTTATCTGAGAGATACATTAGCAGCCAATTTGAGAATATCAAGTCTAGTGATTCTTCTGAAATTTTCAAATCTGGGGAAGTAATGTCAGCACAGAGGAATTTGACATTCTTATAATGTCCATTGATGCTTTCATTCTGCAATTAAGGAAATCGAAAGAGAAAATTTAGTCCAGTGCCTTATGAAATAGCAAACTAAACAATTTCTGCAGCTTGAATTTCAATAACCTTCTTTATAACGCTCTCAATGAAGTCTACAGCTATAACATGACCAGCCTTCTGAGCTAATTCACCAGTAAATCGACCAATGCCAGCTCCTAGCTCCAAAATTGATTTCCCTTCATATGGTGGGAGTAGGGAGAGCACCTGCATGTATCAACAATGAACTACTAGGAATCTAAATAATAATTGAAGGATAAAAATGAAGCATAAAAGAACAGCAGCAACAGGTTAATAATAAGCATCAATGCACATTTAACTCAATCATATTATAACAACAACTGAAATTTTCATAATTGAACAATCTTAACTTAATTTTTTTAAAAAACTACAATTAAAAATAGTGGAACAGTTGGCACTGAGAATTCATATAAACAAAAAGCTTCAATTTCTTATCTGCTTTTGAAAAAGCAGAATCTCAACTATATCATTTAACATAACTTAATTTTTCAGTTTTTAAATGAAGCATTGGCTAAAGTTAGTGCTAAAAAGTAAATTAAAAAAAAAAACCCAAAGCATTTCCTCAACCAGTGGCAGTTACATAAACTAATTATGCCACCAAAAATGAAGAAAATAAACATCATTAGCATAATTACAGAGTAATCATCGTGCCACACAAAAATTAAGACTATTAGCATCAGGTACAATACAAATTGTTTTTTTTTTCTTTTTAATTTCCCCCATGCTAATAATTTGTTTGGGACTTTCAATGGTACATTTAGGCGTGAAAACTCCTTCCAAACAAAAAGTAAGAAAAACAAAAATAGTATCGAATTTATCCTATGGAAACAGAGAACATGCTGCTGAAAATATTTACTATATTTACCAAGAAAAATAAAAAAGAAAGAAGTAGAAAAAGAAAATAAATGTAAATAAATTGACTTAATGCTTTAAAAAAAATAAAACTCAGTAGCAAAATAAATAATAAACAAACAGTGAGGAAAAAGAAAAAGAAAAAGAAACAAAGATTACTTCGGGACGTTCTTCTTTGTCAAGATCAGCGGCTTTGGAGTCAAGCATCATAGCCTCCACTGTTAAATCAACTGAGTGCTCCATCCAATAGTTCTTTTGAACCTCTCGTTCATCTCCTACAACTCCTATCATTTTTCAAACAATCAAATTTATTTATTTTTGACTTAAACGTCAATCAGAGATCCATGCTGTTGTAAATGTTAATTAAATTTTTTGTCTATCATTTCAATCTTTATCATTATTATTATTATAATTTTTTGTTCAAGTTCAATATATTGCAACAAATATTAGATGGAGGTAGAGATCTCACCGTATGCGGCCATGGTTAATGCAGAAGATCTCTAGCAAGCTTTTGGAAGAGGAAGATTTGAGGGGCTTTTCTTCAAATGTATAAAGAGAAAGAGAGAAAAAAGGCTAAAATCCCTCAATGGCAAGACGAGATCTTGAAAATGTCCTAGATCTGCGATTGTTAGTTCTTCCTCTCTGCTGCATCACATACAAAAACGCAAAATAACGGAACTACGATGGTACTTCCCTTCCTTTAATTGTGGGATTTTAGATCTCACTTCACCTGACCTTTAAAAGTCAGGGAGGGAGATTTGAGGGGCTTTTCTTCAAATGTATAAAGAGAAAGAGAGAAAAAGGGCTAAAATCCCTCGATGGCAAGACGAGATCTTGAAAATGTCCTAGATCTGCGATTGTTAGTTCTTCCTCTCTGCTGCATCACATACAAAAACGCAAAATAACGGAACTACGATGCTACTTCCCTTCCTTTAATTGTGGGATTTTAGATCTCACTTCACCTGAACTTTAAAAGTCAGGGAGGGAGATTTGAGGGGCTTTTCTTCAAATGTATAAAGAGAAAGAGAGAAAAAAGGCTAAAATCCCTCAATGGCAAGACGAGATCTTGAAATGTCCTAGATCTGCGATTGTTAGCTCTTCCTCTCTGCTACATCACATAGAAAACTGCAAAATAACGGAACTACGATGCTACTTCTCTTGCTTCAGTTGTGGGATTTTTGATCTTACTTCGCCCGACCTTTTAAAAGTCAGGGAGGGGCATCCTTTTATAGCATATTTTAATTATTACTTTTACCTTAATGAATCTTCAGAGAAATTTCTTGCGACAAAAAATTAATAATTATTTTATGATATCAAAAACAATAATTTTTATAAAAATTAAAAATGCGATTTATAAGTAGTTAAGAAAGCATCCTTATTTTATACACCACATTTAAATTTTATAAACAAGTTAAAAAATGTATATGTGTTTAGTTAATAATATATCTTAACGAAACACTTGTCAATTTCTTGAAATTTAAGTTTGTTTTTTCTTTTTAAAGAGTGAACATAATTTTGAAACAAATTAAAGACAAAAAATGGATATTCAATTTGTGACAGAGAATATTGAAGGTTAAAAAAATAAAATAAAATTTATTAATAAAAATTAAAGATGTCTAAGAATCGAATTTAAAGTCCATTAGGAAGGTTTTGGCAACAAAGTGAAAATTGTTTAAAATTCGGGCCAAGTTTTGCACAAAAAATTATAACGCTCGAATGCAAGATCCGATTAATTTAAAATAATATTATTTATATTGTGTTTGTTGTAAGACTTATGTAGAAACAAACAAACAAACGCTCAAAGCATTGGAGAATAAAGCGATCGAAAGTCACGTGTGACAAAAATCCAGGAAACCTTTTGTTAGTTGTCAACAGCCACCCACCCTCACTTTTGATTTAAATTTATTGAATTTAAGTCCATATAATTTTAAATTTAAATTTGAGTTCGGTTTTAAATTTTAAATTTTAAATTTAATTTAAAATTTAATAAATTTAATTTTTATATTTAATAAAATTTTAAAATATTTTATTAATTAAAATATATTAAAATATAAAAATTTAATTAAATTCAAAAATTATTTAAATTAAATTTAAAAATATTTTAATTTAATTTAATATATAAATCAAATTATTCAAATTAAAATTCGATTTAATAATAATTAAATCAAATTCAAATTTTATTTAAATTAAATTTAAATAATTTAAAAATATTAATATATTATTTATATCTATGACATGATTTCTTTTTTAACTTTGGTTTTCTACACATACCCCTTTTCGTACTTCTAATTTTTATATTTTAATGTTTTCACTCTTTTAATTTAATGATTAAAAATATTTAAAAAATATCAAAAATATGATTTTAAATTGATTTTTTTATTTATATTAAAATTTTATTCTCCTAATATAACAAAAAAAAAATTTATGTTTTAAATCACGTCACGAACCCACGTCTCTTTATTTTTCTGAAAAACGAAACCGCTAACTACAAGTTAAACAAGATCCATCGTTTTTTAAATATTTTTCGGTTTTGTTTTTTTCTTTTAAATAACTTTGATATTTTATTTTATTCTCATATTGTTAATTTAAACATAAGTTTAAATATTATATTTTGGTAAAAATATTATATTATATTCTATATATTATATTATATTTTTCTTACCAAAAAAAATATTATATTTTGATTTGAAATTATTTTATTTTTATTTAAGTTTTTCTAAAACTAATTTAATAAAAATTTTAATAAAAAATTCAAATTTAAAAATTAATTAAATTTAATATAAAAACCAATAATATATAAAAAATTATTTTAAATATTATTAATAATTTAAATTAAACATTATTTATTTAATAATAAAATTTTTTAATTTTTATTAAAATATTTATTTAAAAATATATAAAATATATTAAAATATTTTAATTTTACACACTTAATTTATATAATAAAATCTTTTAATTTATTAATTTTAATTTTAATTTTAATTTTAATTTTAATTTAATAATTTTTAATAAAAATTTTATAAATTTCACTTAAAATTTCGTACGAATCTTTTCCAATCGAAATTTTGTTTTTTATTCCAAGTCGCTTGAATTTGTGTAACGTGTAATGTACGAAGGCTGCCCTTTGAAATTTCTAATGTGCTTTAGTCATTAATTGGCTTTTGGGTTTGGTGAGGAGATCTCGAGGAAAGGGGTATCAAGTGAGCCAATCAGCACTCAGCTCACGAGTCGAGGGGCATTGTCGCCCTATTATTATTTGCAAGATTTTTGTCATTTTATAGCTGTTACCACTGAATAAGGATTCCAACTCCGACAAACATATAATCTTTTATTTTCAGGTAGTTTCCAATTAAAGATGCTATATTAACCAACCAATCCACTGGCCATCACAAATACATACAAATAGACATATAAATATGCATATATAATTGTTTATACTTTGTGCCAAAAACGAATATGTACAATTGTATCAAAAAATTTCACATACTCGCTCAATTTCATAGCGCATATTTTTTACTCCTTTTTTATCTGTAATTATAGAATATCCTCTTTTCTAACGAGGTTATTTATATATATATATGTTAAATTTGTTTTATAAAATTATAAAGATAAGAAAATTTTTAAAATATATATAAGCGAAGTTACAATTAATATCAAGTATTATATATATAATCACTTAATTTAAATAAATCAACACCTAACCAAACAAATCCAACATAAAATAAAAGTAAACATACAAATGGTAAAATTTGACCTTGAAACTTTAAAGTAACATTTTTTCCTTGTTGCTAAGGTAAAGCTTTATTGGATACTGGTATGCGGCCCCAACTACATCAGAGATTAAATAATTTTTATTTTAAAATATAAAATATTTAATTTTTTATTTTAATAAAAATTATATTTATCTAATTCACTTAATTATTTAGTTTTGAATATTTTTAATAAGACGTTACATGTTAAAATTTATAAAATAATGATAAAGATATTTTAATAATTTAATATATGATTAATTTTTTATTAAGTTAAAATTTAACACATATGTTATTTAATATTTAATATTGTAAACGTCCTATTTTTCCGAGATCAATATTGGATCCCAATACTATTTTTGGATTTTCAATCCAATAATTTTTAATTAGATTTTAGAGTGACCCATTTAAATATGATTCGTTTATGTTTCGAGCTTTCTGAACCAAGAGCCTAATCTTTTTTTTTTATTTGATTTTATTATTTGTAGAAAGTGATAATCCTTAAAATAAAAAACAAAGGAAGGGGATTTGCTTTTGAAAATGACGTCTTTCGAAGATAATTAGATTGAATTTTTAATGTACAAAGTGATAAGAAATCCCATTTCAAATCGAGACTTTGCGTTGATTTGGTGTCCTGTGTCAATTAGGACTAATTGGCTATTTAAACAGTCAAGAATCGACAGAAAGGAAGAGATTGGAAACAAATCCCCATTCTATTTGGCCAAGCTCCTTGTTGTTAGTTACCACTTTCTCCAACTAAACCAATCCTCTTTAGCCTTTTGCAATCTCCACCACCAAAAACCCACTACCACAACCACCTAGTTGCAACTTAAAATTGCCATCATTCAGAAATAACGTAGCCATACCTAACCCGAAACCGCATCCCCATCATTGTTGAATCTCATACTAGATCACTCAATCGTTATTGAAACACCACCAGTACCATCACAAAGCCACCATACTGTTCTCACCATCACTAAAGAATCTACATGAGACTTACCCAAAACCCAATAATAAGACCAGCCAAAAACTTAACAATTCAAATACCATAAATTTTCAACATTCAGTAAGCAATTCAGTAAACCAATTTCTCCATTAATCAATACTAAACATATACAAAATAAACCCAATCAGCAAAGGAAAATTTTTTCATTCAAAATAAACTTGGCATGACTGGAATGCCACTAGTATAAAGATGCATGCTATCTTTGTTTCCGAAGGTTATGGTGAAATACTAAAGGTCCATTTGGTTGAGTGATGAGCATAGTTTCGATAAGATTAAAAATTACGGTAGTTGTGAGATTAGTTATTGTAGTGGTAAGATTGGATAATATAACGATCAGATTAAAATCAGCGGTGAAGTTAGGGATGGCAACGGGTCGGGGCGGGGAGGGTTTTTGCTCGCCCCGAACCTGACTTGATATTTTTTTATTATTTTTATATCCGAACCTGACTCGATCCAATATTGTATAAAATCATATCTTATCCGACCCGACCCGAAATTAATAAAATATTATTTTTAATATAAATATAAAATTAAATTATATAAAAAATATATATAAATAATTATAAAATTAAATAAATAATTAAAAAATATATTTTTATATATATATTGGGTCGGGTAGGGTTGGGTTTGCCTAAAACCCGACCCTGACTCAACCCCGATTTTTTCTTCATGCCACCCGACCCGACTTGACCCTAATACCCAATTTTCAAAAAAAAAATCAACCTTAAAAGGTCGGGTCAAGTCGAAACCCATCGATTTTAGGTTTTTTTGCCTTCTCTAGGTGAAATATATGTTTGGATGCAAAAGTAACAATAGCGGTGTGATGGAGTATAGTGAAAATGAAAAATTACCATTAAGAACAATAGATTAAATTTTATATATAATAAATTTATAATATTTTTTATATTTTTAAATTAATAAATAATTAAAAATTTTAAATTATTTAATATCAAATAAATATTTTTGTTAATAAGTTAAAAATTAGTAAAGCTATTTTTTATATCCAATAATATTTATATTATTAAATATTGAGAAATATTTTTATGTATATATGTTAATGTTATTTAACATTTTTAAATCTAAAAATTTTATTTAATAAATAGCAATTTTTTTTTTAAGATTTAAGATAGTATATTAAAGTTAGAAATATTAAAATTATTATTGAAACTTGCTCTAAATTGATGTATTTATAATAATTTACTTTCATACACTTTTAATATCATATTAATAACAATTATTTTATTTCTCAAATGTATTATTACAACTAACAAATTTGATTACATAAACATAATTATTTACTAAAATTTGAAATAAATACTAAAATGAAGAAAAAAATTTAGAAATCATCATTTAAAAATTCCAATTTATAAAACAATGAACTTGCAACGTAGTGATGGCTCATTTTCAATCTATAAAAGACTAAAATATATACAAAAAATCTATTTCCTTTTTTCATGTAT